TTCCATCGAAACGTATGAACTATCTATTCCATATAAAATACTTTCACAGAACCATCACATAAGCGTTAAGGATAAACGCGCCACGAGTATGCTGTATGCATAATATATCATTTTTGTTAATAATCTGTTTTGTGTAAGCCCGCGATATACCAGCATGGCGTTCTATAATGACGGTAATTACCGAAAAAGTTTCTTTATTAAACGTACTGTCCTGTCCGTATTATTATAATGTTATAGGGAAAATCAGCGGCGTCCTATAGCCGATATATTTACCATTGGGGTGAAAATAGGTGGAGGTCTTTAAGGACTACCCCCCTCCCCCACCAAACATTTCTAACATTTTTTTTAAGCTTATTCAATATTATTTAAGTAGGACTTCAGCCCCCCTATTTAATATCAAACTGAAAATTGCAACTATGGGCAGGTACCTAGGAATAAGTATATTATTATTATAATAATTTATTTGACATATTGTATAAGAGGCTGCATGTATCTTCTCTTATATAGGTATACCTAAAATCTAATTATACCTAAAGGCTTAAAGTAACACGTACACGTTTCATATGGTAACATAAAAAACGATTGCAGTAAGTACGACGAAGAAAATATAAGAAACCGTATAATAATATTATGTACACAGGTGTACGGACATTTCGCGAAATCGGGCCCTTCGCATGTCTGGAAATGAAGTTTAAAAACGAATTGGACTAATGCAACACGGATTCGCACGTCCGCCGCCGCCTCGACATGACCGGATGACATTTACCGCCGTAATAGTGTGTCGTATGCATACATAATACTATATTTTTATATACAGGGTGGTTTGTTTTAGTGAACCGGGCATCATTTGATTAGTGCACTGGGCACATTGTTTTCTTCATTGGGGTTGGCTCAGTGTTCAATCCAGGTATACTCCAAGAGGGGCGATTCTCCACCTCCACTTGGAAAATCATTCACTCTCCAATTCCTGCGACAAATACAAAATAAATGTTAGAAAAATGTATTTATTAAATGTACAACACCGGCTAAGATTATATTATCTTGTAATATTATTATAAATATAACTACTTTTTAACAACGTCTAACCAAACATTTTCAAATTTTGAGACAAGATACAATAGGGTGTTAACTACCTATCGAAGCCGAGAAGACTCACCTCAGAAGTTCATCGAAAAGGCAATCGATTTGTTTGCAAGAAAAAAAATTCGTCGCATTAGATTTGTTTAAAGAATAAAAAATAAATAATATTTTAGAATAAAATATTTATATGATAATATATATATATATAATATCAAATATCAAATGTATTGAATTTATTGTAAAGTTTATTGTTAAGTAATAATAATAAATTGTGTGTCACTAAAATGTACGACAAATTAAAAAAGAGAGCCCCCTCCTCCGGTACAATTGATTCAGCACACGTTTCAATTGTTCTATTTTCCAAATATTGATTATATTCTGATTCTTTTAAATTATTATTCAAATATTATGATTTTACCCTCAAATGTTTAAAATTTTTCGAAAAATCAGGCGTCGCCCAGTTTTCGGTAACAAAAATATAAAAAAAAAATCACTCTGTATGCTCATGCAACTATATATACTGGTGCAGTGTGCTTCGCCGTCGTCGCGGCGGTGTGCAGAACAAAGATAACATTACACAACGTTTATTTTGAATGGCGTTTTGGCCGAACGCGAAAACCGACGACCCGTTGACGACACCGCGATTAACGATAACGAAATTTGATAACAATAATTAAAATGGCGACCCTCACACAGTCGCACAAAAGCCGACACAACTTCGCACTGTTGAAACACAACACGCCGTGGGCACATGTAACATTGTAATACGTATTATTGTTGCATACGATACACATGGAAAGCTTTTGAATAAAATATTTTGCGTTTATGTATTATTATAATGCGTCCAAGTGTGATGATGAGTACATGCGATACACAATATACAATATAATATTATAATGGGCAAAATAATATTACACAATATGATATAATGTAGTCGTTCTACACGATGTGTTTAAATCGAACAGTTTTCGTGAACGAATTCATTCAATATTGTTCGCTTATTCGTTTTATTTCCCCTCGCCCGACGGACGTCGCACGAAACAAAATATATTCAAAGTCTGGACGATTTAATCGCTACGTTTCGAACAGGTTATCCTCAGATAACTGCCACGATGCCGCCGCCGCCTCAGTGGTATATGTGTTTAAATCGAATTGTTGGCTCTATTGTCTGAAGAAGGTGGGAGATCTTAAATATATATATTCACAAAAAGACCTCAGAACGAGTAAAAAATAGGTCGTTAGTCTGTTCGATAGTTATTATAAAAAATGTAATGCAATCAAACCGGGGGCGGACCGGACTTGCCCGACTGGCTCTAAAAAAAAACCATTTTTGTAGTCAACTCATTCTAAGCAGCCTAAACAATTTCCCGGCCTAAAATATTGTCCCAATCCGCCCGTGAATAAACATCATATTTATAGTTATATATTTTAATAGTAAAATCACTTTTTCGATTTAAAAATGGATGGCTTTCATGATTATCAATATATTTTTGGAATGTGGGTGAGTAAGTAACCGATCTCTTATACAATCGGTGATTATCGAGTGTACCATTGAATAAGTCACTTTTATAGATGTAATACATATTTTGAATTCGATTATAAGCCATTTAATACAAAAAAGGATTTGAAGCGGAGACGGTCTGTCAGCCCATATTACTAAGTACCTATATTTTATGATATATTTAAATTACCATAGTAATTTATTATACAATTAATAATACGACAGGTTAAGTAAATTGTTGCCAAAAAAATTGCATTTATTGCGTAATTAATTTATTATTATAATAGCATATACATATTCATGTTATATACAGGGTGTCCCGAGAGGATATACCCATTAGTCGTAGAGGGGAATTCGCCGCCTGGACAAAACCAGGTTTTTTTAATTATAAACTAAAAAAATGATTAAAAATCATGAAACTAATGAAAAGAAAATGTTGAAAGGTCAAAATTTTCAGAAAAATAAACCTTATAAAATGGATATCATCACTTGTTTTAAAAATAAAAAAATGAAAAAATAAATTTTTTAACATTTTTATATACAATTTTAATAAAAAAAAAAAAAATATGTATCCCTTTTCTCTATGAATCTAATACAAAAAAAAATGTATGATATATTCATTATCTCAGGAGCATGCAATGGGTAAATTCTCGAGGAGCACTTTGTTTATTGTTATTAAAAACATTTGAGTCAGTTTATTCTAAGATCCAAGTCAAAACGAATAATATTTTTCAAATGAGATACAACAAAATTCATTTATATTCGATTAACTTTTAGATTCTGACGAATTTGAACTTGAAATGTCAATCAAATACTGAGAATATGTATTTTCGAGATGTTTTGGTAACTACATTAACCTGTTTCGAAGAATCTTCAATTAAATTTTCGTGATTCTTATGATTTCCAAGATTTTTGTCAAAACATATTTGTACTTCCTTCAAATGTTAAAAAAAATTGTTCCTGTGCATTTCAAAATGCTGTAAACTGCTGTAACCTGTAAAAAACAATTTCACTGAGATCTTGTTATAAATTTTCAAGCTTTTTGAAGATCATTTAATACAAGGTTCCTCAAGATTTGATATTATATAGATGCATATTTAAAAATATTTAAGACGAGGTAAAACGATGCCAACTCGCCACTAACTATAGTACAGAGCTGTCACCTGATTTACCCCCTTTCTTTTATAATTTAATTACAAAATAATTTTGCAAATGTTTGTAAGTTTGATGAATTTTGTAAAATTTTAAACTTTGAATAATTATTTTAAAAAAGTTGCGGCTTTGTATTTTCCGTAAGAAAATCTAACGAGAAATCTTGTATTCAATTCAATTGTCAAAGTGTTTTAATTAAAAACAAACATTTAACTATACATAAATTGAAAAAAACCTAAAAACTCGAATATTTAAAATATCTACAAATATTACAAAAAAGTGCCAAAAAATCTCGAAAATTATATCATGTGTCATTGAAATACTTACATGAATATTTGGATTATACATTTCTAAGTCTTTATGGTTAGTCTTTTTTTTGATTTTAAATAAAATAATTAATTTTGTAAAAAACGGGGCTTGCTTAATATTTCTTGTTTTTCCTCAACTAACTTTTGAAGTATTGAACATTTTTACTTTTTACCTCCCAAGACTTGAACTGATATGATACCAGAAACCTCACTTGATGTTGAAGATCGAAGCATTTTTCTGCTATAAAACGAGCTCACATATAAAAAAAAAACAACCAAAAACACACCATTACCAAGGTATTTGTTCATAATGATATACATTACGTCGCTCTGCTCTGAATCTAAATAAATGCAATTTTTTTGACTTTAAACTTTATAATATTTTATGAAGCTTATGTATAATATTAGGTAAAGATCATTGAGTAAACAATTTATATAAACCTAATATAACCGATAAACGATCGAATCAGTAAATTACTGACTATATACGAGATTAAAAAATAGGCATTAGTAGAAGAACTTCATCAACAGTAGGTACTCATTCGTACGCGCGGGTTTTGAATGCAAACGGGTCGCAAAAAACAATATAGCATCATAATAATATTAAACTGAAAGATTGAGGAATTCGGTCACAGATTCCGAAACCTCACGCTACACTCGGACCGTGGACGGACGGTCCCCTATTTCAATAGACTTTCGAATACATAATAACTTCTGCATCCAATAATCGGCATGCCCACGTCTAAACAGTAGGAATACACACACCATTATTTATAATATTATAATGTTATGTATAGTATAACGCATGGAAAATTACGTGATCCGAGGACACCATGAACTCGATAATATTCCAGATTTTGTCATTTGCGACGAGCAGCAGCGATGACACAATATAGACCGGTACCGGTTCGCGACATTGTCGCCGACCGGATTATCTTCGTTTTTTTCACCACCTCACATTAATTCTGGGGGTACTCTCCGTACACCCGCAAACGTATATATAGTCGATGGACCGAGCTCAATAATCATCATTCAGCCGAGCAACATCCAACTATCAACACTCAAAATGATGAAAATCGTAAGTACCTGCCTATGTATAAAGATTTTATAACGATTCATAGCATTGCTTATTATAATGTACACCTACCTACCTCTACGGTAACATATATTATCGATGTTATGACTTGAAAAAAGTAAACCGAGTTCTCGTAGGACTATAATATTATTGTATACCTAGTATATTTTGCCTTATTAACCGTATATTGTTTATGTGTGTTTTCAGACAACAGCTCTCGTTGTATTGGCGGTCGTAGCCCTCGTCAGGGCCGACGTGCCCAAAGGTGATAAGAAGATCACCAAGAGAAGCGGATTTGGATACGGCCTGTCCGGTCTGGGCTACGGTTCGGGTCTCAGTTACGGTTCCGGTCTGGGCTACGGCTCCGGTCTGGGCTACAGCTCCGGCCTGAAATACGGTTCCGGTCTTGGCTACAGCTCCGGTTTGGGATACAGCTCCGGTCTGAGCAGCTACGGCTCTGGTCTGAGCAGCTATGGCTCCGGTCTGAGCAGCTACGGCTCCGGTCTGGGATATAGCTCCGGTTTGAAATACGGTTCCGGTCTCGGTTACAGCTCGGGTTACAGCTCCGGTCTAAGCTCCGGTTTGGGATACAGCTCCGGTTTGGGATACAGCTCCGGTTTGGGATACTCCAGCGCCCCAGCTCCGACTACCGGTCCCCTCATTCCTATCTCCAAGGAAGTGCACATCGTCAACCGTCATGCCCAACCAGTGTCCGCCCCGTACCCAGTACCAGTCCAACACGACGTACCCGTCGCTGTACCACACCCAGTGCCATACGCAGTTGACAGCCCATACCCAGTCAACGTACCTGCCCCATACCCAGTGAAGGTCGAAAGACCAGTGCCATACGCAGTTGACAGGCCAGTTCCTCATCCAGTGGCATCACCATACCCAGTCCCGGTTGTCCGTGACGTTCCCGTGCCCGTGTCCAAACCGTACGCAGTTCCAGTAGTCAAACAAATCCCCGTACCAGTGGCCAGCCCAGTCGTCGTACACGAATCAGCCCCTTTGATCACATCCAGCTACAGCTCTGGACTTGCAACATCTGATATCGGTTTCGGTCACGGTTCCACCTATGGTTCTGGTTTCGGTTACGGTTCCGGTTACGGTTCCGGTTACGGACTATCATCATACGGATCCGAAGGCCACTACGGTGGATCCCTGGGATACAGCACTGGAGATCTGTCTTCATACAGTCACGGTCACAGTTTCGACTACAAGAAGTAGAACACTCATAGCAACTTCACTCCACCCCCGCCCAACATCATCAAATCTAAATAGATTTTTCTTCTATATTATGTATACATGTATTTTTATAGACAATATTTCTTATTGTTGATAACTTTTGGTTATCAACTAAAATAAATACTTTTGTTTTTTTTCCATATTTGAGTGTTTGTCATTACAAGTCCAAGTTACTAGTATTATAATTCCCTAGAAAAAATGTTTGAACTATTATTTTTATTTTAAATATTGTTTTTCAGATCAAAATTTGATAGACCAATATTAGTTTCAATATAGTCATATTGAATATCAACTGGCAGTTTTAAAAACTTCCATTGTGTCTTTGTGTTATACTCGTAGTTTAATCTTTAAGTTTACAATTATTTTTTAATTATTAAATACGCACAATAATTAAGTACTACTCTAATAATAGGTAAATACATTTAGATATTTAGGTTTATTTTATCCTTGGGTCTTGTCAAGTCTACAAAACATACTAACAAACATGATATAGACGAAAATAAATTAAAGATGCAAGTTGGGCAAAAAATAAATACCACTATAAAACGTTTACTTACATTAATAATTCATTTAAATTTGAAATATTTCATAATAATTTATTTAAACCATTTTTAAGACTGGTTTTTCAGATCTCTTTTTATAATATGATATTAAGTAAATTTCATTGATATTTGTATATATTTGTACGTATTTTCTAACATCGTCGTTAAATATAACCTAATTCAATTTGTTTAGTGTTAAATCAGAAAATATACAAATTAAAACATTTTAAAAATCTTACTCAAATATTCACATTTTAGTCTCTTGCATTTATAAGCACATGTCATTTTAATATATTTTGTTATAAAATAAAATAAAAGTATCGTTTTTAATAAATTAATTTATTTAGTTCCTAATTGCAATGAGATATTATATATTATATAGATACTGTTAGTAAATATTTATGAAATACAATTATGGTTATGAAATTAATATCCTTATTTATCAGTTTATTATTATTATACAGGAATTATTACTACTATTATTTTGAAATTTGACGATATATTTCGATTAAAAAATTCAAAATGTATAATTACATTATTATTATTATTCATTACCCTACAAAGAGAATTATACCAAATACTTACGGAAGAAACATATATATATATATTAACAATCAATAATTATTTAGAAAAACGAAAAAATATCTGTTCGTCCCACATAATAATATGTAACCGAATATTGTTCAATCCGCTACATCGCAAGGACTTCATAAGCCATGTCATGTAACCAATTTATCCGTAGTGGAGTTTCAAAAGCTGTGTGTGAGGGTTTTTTTTTAAACACTGATTAGTTTGAATACAAGCGGGTATCTATACTGACACTCCAACATAACTGAATTTTATAAATTACATTATACAGTTTAAGTGTGTTTTTTATACCTTCCCCCCGTAAAACAGTGTACATTATAACTGCTCGTTTCGCGATTATTTATAAATACAATTTTGTTTTTCATCCCTTGTTTTGCCCCGTGCATCAACACACATATTTTAGTGCCATAAATAAATTAACTTCGATGATGATATAGGTTCTTGGTTACACTTAAATGTTATGAAACAACAATAAATTATGTTTGAATATTTCACATGATACGCCGCCGTTCTGCGCATTGACCTCAGCGAAATAATGTAGGTATATATAGTATAGATTAACTATTAATAGATAATACAAAACGCACTCTTTGACATTAAATATACATAATAATAACAAAAGTGAAGATCATAATGTATGGACATCAGCGTTCGGTGGCTCAGCTATCGATGCATTGCAGGCCGCCTTCAGATCATTTTTTGATTTTTCTAATTTTTATTAATATTTAACTGACATTTGTATTTAATAAATTGAATAAAACTATTTGATATGTTGTCCAAACTTGAAGTGCTTTTAAAATGTTCATGAGTTGTACGATTTGACAGATTTAAATGAAATTGACCACCGTAAAAAACTAAAAACTGTTGTAGTGTAACAGCTATTATATTAAAAATATTATTATAAAACTATTATCATACTATTATGACTAGAATTTTGATTTTCGATGGTAAATATTAGCATTATTTGCTATTGATCTCGTTTGAAGCTGCATCTATTAAAGATTGATGAACGAAATGTAATTTTACCTAATTTAATATTATTTTTTTACTTTTAAGTTGCTGTATTTGATTTTTTTATTTATTATATTATGTTTTTGGAATATTTGAAGGTTAATATTTATTTGTATACCAGGATTTCTGGGAATGGATACCAATTAGTGTTATCCTGTAACGTTATTGATGTGATACGCATAATACATTACATGTCATAGAAATAAATGTATATTATGATTTGGTGAAATGTATAATTTAATGTAAAAGTTCACATGGCTGTACAGGTGAAAACATCATCTACCAGTTTACATTGTAAATTTTGTAATTTTCCTTTTTAATTTATCACCTTTTTTAAAAAATGAATTCCATCTAATCTAATCTTTTAACTAAGTGTGTCACGTATAATAGTTATAATATGTTTTTTTTAAATTTTAGTACAAACTACATTTAATTAATACACCAAAATACTAAAACATAAAATAATGAGTTTTAAAAGAAAAATATTAGTTTTTTTTTTCTTTATTTTAAATACTTTTTTATGTTACATAGAGTTACAACATCCAAACCCTATCTATGACCATATTTATGAATATTATGTTTTAAAAATAAATTGTTCTCCTTAATGGTTGACATTTTGTAATATTGAACCTAGGATATTCGTTGAAATAAAACAGATAGAAAAATCAGACAGATTCTTGATAATATTACAGAGCGAGCACATTCTCACCAAAAGGTCAAGGACTATTGGAATAAACAATGAATAAAATACGATAGGGCTTAACAAAACATTTAATTTTTTTAAAGTTAACAATACACAGTGTAGTCTTTAGGAGCCGATTAGTTAGATATTGATTAATTTGTTTGTGAAAAGAGTTTAGAGCAAATAATTAATTTTCTTAATAATATCTTCCCGAGGTCCAACCCACAATAAATCATATTATACGCACACGCATCTATCTGCCATTTATAGTACATAGTACTTGCTAGACCCTAATTTTCAAGTTATTTAAACTAGACCTACATAAAATAATAATATAATATGAACCTTACGAAAATACACAATAAATTTATAGTCTTCATATTTAAAACTCCTGCGTACTTTTATTCGGTATAACCAATATTGTGACTATTATTATTATTACTTTTTTTTTTTAGGTATATGTTGTTTGGTGGCTTTTGTTGCAAGTAAGTGTGGGTGTGAGAAGGAGAAATCGACTACTGAAAAATAGAATATATTTTTTTTTCGCTAAGCCATTGTTTTTGACAGTGAATATGATACGTGGGTAGCGAACTACCTATACAGATACCGGTGGAGAACGTTCATGCCCGCCAAAAACAAAACAGTAAATGCATCACGACGACACGCTTTAAAATTGAACTTGTTACCGAAACTTTACATGCAATATCTTACACAATGTAGGCACGTGTTAAAAGTAACTCTGACAGGTACAAATGGCCTACAGAATAATATTTTAAATGATATAATATATGTACAAGGTATATACGAAAACCGTATTAAGTACAGCGAAAATCAAACAAGTATACACTTATACAAAAAACATTTCTAGTTGTGTGTGTGTGTGTGTGTGTGTGTGTGTGTGTGTGTGTGTGTTGAAATTATTATTATTTTATTACAATTTTATAGCTACGCTACAACAGCTGAATACCTAACCTACGTATGTACCTAAAGTGTTTTTTTTTTGTTTTGGATCCGATGACTCAGGTGACGAATGCACGAGTTACTATATCATTATAATACATATTATGTTCAAATCATCTTTTTTTTATCCCAATTGGACATCAAGCAATAGCAGGTTAGTAGGACATAACTAGTATTATTGTTAGATAACTTTTGAAACAAAATTATGTAAATGAAGCCGTTCGACCGGTAACCAGTAAAATGTATACAAACACAACATAAATAATAGCTAATTCATTTATATATTTTATGTGCGTATAGAATATAGGTACATACGCACAACATGTAAGTACTAACAAGGTGTTAGTAGTTACAACATTAATCACGAATAGCTGTCTTGGTGACACGGTGAAACATAATAGAGTTGGTGATTTGGATATAATAATATAATATTAAAAACGGCTATTATGATAACCACATAAAAAAAATCAAAGCTGACTCGAAAAATAATTTTTTTGAGCTGGTTTTATCGAAGTTAAACAAAACAATCCATTTCATTGTACAAGAAAAATAAAGTACGTAATGCATAAAGGGGTCTAAGCAAACATTTTCATGATCTAAAAAATAGTGTCAAATGTATCTCCTAATCTGTGGGCAGCGAGTGAACCGAGCCGGTGCGCCATCAAACATAAACATAAGATCCTTACAATATCATACGGTATCAGTATATCATTTGGTACAATAACTACAATGCGCCCTGGCCTTGCTCGTTAGTAATCCAACAACCTATAGTGAACTCAATAATATACTCATTGTTCCCAACACACAAGAATCAAAACTCTGCAGTAAGTGGTTCCTTAGAAAACTTAAACATTGCAAAATGACACTAATCCATTTATTTTCTGTTTATCTTTCCATGAACTTTCAAAATGTTTTACTTATCAATTATCTCTGGTATACAATTGTGCAGAGAGTAGAGTCTTTTAGACCATCAACATTTTGAAATTATTAAGGTTTTGATAATGATACTACATTATACTCTATAATACTATTACTATGTGTAAATGTTTATCCTTATCGCCTTATCTGCCCGTGTATTATTTAAATAAACTAGGTAGGTACATAATTAAAAATGTAAGTTAAGAGCACGCTAAACCCGCATCCGTTGTCTCCATCTTACAAGAGCACAATTGTAAATTATTTGTACAACTTAAAATACTCATAAGTCTCTTTAAAATTAAAATATAATAAAAAGCCAATGAGAAGCCCTCCGTAGTAGTCTTACATTTAATTTTAATAAGAGGCCAATTCACTCTAATTTTTAAGCTAACTGAGCTAAACGTGATCTGCTGAACGTAAAATTTGATATGTTACGCCTTT